TTAAAAATTATAGTTTAAAGAAAAACAAGCATTAGTATGCTTCCTTTTTGGCTTTTCTTCTTTCGATTCTTTTTGCATAGCTGCCAGTGAAATGAAACATGAAAAAAATTACATGATGCTTTAGATAAGCATAAGTTATTTTTTTAATATTTGAAATAAAGAATATAATAACTATTTATCTTGATATGTAATTTTATTCCAACATCCTTAGTAGCTATTTGTTTTTGAAATAAGAATCATTAATTAAAATACTTATTCTCAGCGGAAATATATCCGCTGAAAAACCATCTGCCTTTTGAAATGCCATATGTTAACAAAAAAAAAAAAATACAAGTCTAAAGCAGCTATATGCTTTTATGTGTTGATGATTACATTTGAGATGTCTTAAAAGAGAAAAAAGATATTAAATCAACAATTAAGATTACACAATATCATTTAGTTTTTAACAAAATAATAAATATTTGTCGTCAGATCGAATATCCTATGCGTTCATATTTCAATGCTGTCTGATGTAAATGAAGTAGGGAGCATGGTTTCTTTTTTCTCCAGTAGTACAATTTTTGAACCTATATATTTTCTAACTACAACGACAAAATAAAAATTTACACTTTCTCATAATATTTGATGAGAAGCATTTATAGGAATTGATAGAATAGGTATGAATTAAATGCTCTCTATGAAAAAATTTTCTCTAAAGATGTCACTTATCTGCTGCAAATGAAGATCTTGATCAGTAATAAGTTACTGACTGGTAAAACAATTTGGCATCTAAATTCATATAGGAAAAAAAAGGAGCAAAATAATATCATTTTTTTTTTGCATTTACAGACTTTATTAGTTCTCACATTTTTGACAGTGTTAACATTTATCTTATTCTTTTTCTCTACATAAATACATGGTCGTTTAAATTGAAGTTCAAAAACAAATAGATTATTTAAAAAATTGAACATCAATATCAACGATGTCAATCATGCAATAGCAAATAGCAATAAAACAAACTTGACATATGTTAGTATCAAGTTTTCAAGTGATTTACTATTTCAATGTATTAGTTATAAAAAATCATCATAAAACTACTTAAAATCTATATAAAAAAACATAAAAGAAACTTCTCCGAAATATATAAGAGTGTGTGTACACTCTCACATCTATAGCATATATAATTAAGTGAATATTTCAAAAGTACACATCAATACTCTTTCTGAGATTTATCGATTACGTCCATATGATACTACTTACTACCATGTCTTTCGAAGCTTTACTAGTATTGTAATAGAAACAGATCAAGTTCATTTCAAAGGAATTCCATCGATTAGAATGACATTGAATTCATCCGACGCAAATCATTTCTTTTCTTCGATGTTCTCGACTTATTTTCATTGAAAATTTGTTCAATAAACAAATTAGTTCATGTAGTCAAGACTGGTGAAGTGGTAATCACCTCTCAGAACACTTCCATAAAACAATCCACATAGAAGATGAAGTGCAGAGAGCCAAGCATCTCTCTTATTTTACCAATACATCGTCGAGAACACTATTAGCATCGCTGTATAATTCAAGTAAATCTGAATCACCTCCACTATAGTATCGCAGATATGTAAATGTTGTAGACCAATCTATGGAACTCACTTTTCTTTATATAGTTTTATTTGAGTACTCCAAAAAATAATGAATAAACAACAGAAGTAAAATCACTTGAAAAAGCGATTCTTTTTGTTCTCTTTTATGATGGTATTGATTAAACTAAAGCAACAGTCATCACATTCTATGTTAGAATAATATCGAAAAGGCGGACTAGAGCAAAGACTTAAGTAGCGACCAAGTTATTGCCAGAGAACGTTGTTCTGTGGTTTGCGGGAGCTTTTATGTACGAGAAAAAACTATTTCGTGACTATTACCTAACAAGCTGCTCCACGATCGAGCAGGTTCTTCGAGTTATATCAATGGTTCTTTTTGCAGCGTTTGATTTACGTCAACATTTCACAAGATTTTTCGTCTATATAAAGGAAACGAATGAACCTACATTTTCCAATTATCGTAAATATCAGATTTCTTTGACAACTCATTAATAATGACAGCAACAACCATATCATAGTTTAATTTCTTTGTTGTGATTATTATTGGTAATACAGTGAGTCATATATGCAACATGAAGAACAAGGTCAAAACAAACAGTGTAGCAATATATTAAATACAGCTGTTAGTTGAGTCGTTCATACATTTTAGTTTATACAGTGGCAAAATATTTCGTTTTCTTTATTAAAATTTTTTGTTTACGAAATAATTGGTAAGACAACATATATAGACCGATTTCTACTATAAAAACTTGGGCCTTTTGTCCTAAAGAGAGTAGAAGAATATACTACTAATGATTCATAAATTCATTTCTAATCAATGAAAAATATCACAAGAGATATTCGAATGCTCTATGCGAAGATCATGAACTTCTTAATTAATAATTTCGAGTAATATTCATCTTTTACAGAATATGAATTACTAACTGCATATTTGTTACAAAATCTCTATTTTCAACAGAAAATACTTTAAAAGAATAAATTACTGATGAGACATATTCAAAATATTGTTATTTAAAATTTATTTCTCAAGAGAGAACGACCATAACTGTAATGATGTACCTCTATATTGCATCATGATATGTACTTCTATTGAAGCGGAAGAGTTAAAAATAATTCGAACGAGTTCGTTGAGAATAAAGGATTAATTGATGGAAAGTTTCCAATTTATATTCACAAATTCGTTAGCATAAAGAGATCAAGATTACAAGGTTAATACAAATTAAAGTCACGTATACACGTAGATTTTTACCAAAAGTAGTCTTATAACTTTCTATGCATGGAAAAGATATAAGCTGATAGAATAATGTATTGCCGAAAAAAAAACATAACATGCTCAATTGTCCAATCTCTATTGCATATGGATAAATGTACAATATCAGGAAACCTCTCAGAATTATTCTTCAAATTAATAGTATTCTGTACTAAAAGATCAGGAACACTGTAGATATGCGTTATATTCCGTTTTTTTCCCAAATTTTCGACTGTTCGTTATGTCATTTTTTTGCATGAACCTAATTCAGAATTTCTTTCAAGACAATATCAGCAATAAAACGTACACCAAACGTAATAAGAAGTGTAGCGATTGAATCATTACTGTTAATATCATACGTATGTCTATCAAACATTCAGTTTCTTTTGTAGATGGACATTGGTTTGCTTAAATCAGAGTAAGATCTATTGTAGAGCATAAGCATTCGCTTTTTCTACATGTACATGACATCTTCCCAAGATTGAAGCAGCATATATAATTCTTTTTTTTGTCTTTAAATACGAGACTTTACCTATGTTTCTTGTCGATACTAACAAAAGATGTTTCGCTCCATTTGAATAGAATACGAGTGTCACTTTATTCAAAGAAAAAACAAACAATGCACTTTTTTGAAACATTAACTAAATTGTTTTTTCGTTCTATTTATCATTGAACTTTACGGTGAAAAAAACTCGAAATTATGACATCATTACATCAGTGAGACGATGGCTCATGACGCTCTCTTAGTTCTATTTTTGTTCAATACATAAAAGACTTTACTCATCGAACGCATCTTTTTTGTGGTAGCACTTATTCTTTCCTGTGTCGGTGACATAGTATTGATAAACACCGATGATGACGTATTCATTCTATGTTTGGTAGCCTTTTTGCTTGTTCACATTGCTCATATTGTTTCGTTTTTCGCTGGAGATGAATAATGACGACATACAATTTCATCGATGACATTCATTTCATTTACTTCTTTTCTTTTTGCTTACTTCGCAATCATTCTCTACATTTGTTATTCATCTGTAAATGAGAACTTTCAGAAGACAAACAATTGTATCTTCCCGGTTGTCATCTATACATTTGTAATTGTTGGCGCGAGTTATGTAGTCTATTGGCGTGACCACCAAGTAACCGGTTATTAATTCGTCTTTCTTGAAGCAATGCTCTTTATTATTTCTGATTCACTATTAGCATTCAATCGATTTGTTGCGCCTATTCCTATACATCAGGTTTGCTCATTATGGCCATGTACGGTATAGGACAATATTTAATTACAGTTGGTCTCCTAAAATCGACAACTAAAAACATGAAAAATGCTAAAACTATTGTTAATGGTTCGATTTCATCTTTTTTTTTTGTATGA